TGCATGGATTCTATTGATTGTTGCCTTGCCTAATCATGAAGTAATTGTCATGATAGTCTCTTGTACCATCCTGCAGTGGATAGATTTGGGTAACGTTCAGGTTTTAAATCAATCTCTTGCTGATTACACTACAATTTCCTCTGGAAACACCTGCTATAATACCTAAAGTACTTTTTGACATTTTGATCTTTATCTGTGGGTACTAAAAATAAAGCTCTGTATATTTTTCTATTCCAGTAAAATGATTGATTAGAAAATGGTACTCTGTTTCTTTGGGTACATGTACAGGTGTATCGTATTAACATTGAGTTCTATCAGTGATTCAGTGGACAATAATGCAATCAGGGTATATAGCACTTCAAAGTGCTGGAAACTATCGTTATTTTTTCCAAAAATTTCCATATGCTTTCTTTCCAAATTGCATGAATTGTAGTTAAATGTAGCTGTGTGCTTTCTAGCTTGATGTAAATACAAATTTTTCTACTTAGTAAATTTACAGAAAGAGAGGACATGTATTAGTCGTAAACTTCTCGTAAATGAGGAGTGGAAGCCGGGAGGGTCTCTGCTTCGTGATCTCGATCAAGTTTTGTAGCATTGGGCAAGTTCAGGGCTGAACTATAACAATTTGACCTCCTGTCAACAGGCACTAAAACGTCCCTTATTGCGTTATTTTACAAAATCTTTACTCATGTTGCCACTGGCTGCAACTCTTGTGGTCTACACACTCAGTAGAATCTCATACAGTTATATTTGTTTGATGGTTCCCCTCTACACTGATAAATGAAGTCGGCATGCATGACGTGCCCCAGGGTCTGGCTTTAAATGGTCGGTCATCCATTGTTCAGGCAGTGTTGGTTGAACCATACCTATAGCTTAAACTTGACCATTGCAGCATACTGGTTATATTTCCATCTCAATTGTTTTCACCTGTATGGCCTATTTACACAGAGGAGCAAATGCGATGATAGAAACTGAGCAGAAAATGCTTAGTTTTCAATAACTGACTCTTCACAGTAACATTATATGGAAGTGGTCAACCATACCCGTCAGTCTGTGACTTCATACTTAATGAGACTGTTGATTGGCCAGAACAAAATATGACTCGGGTTTCTAAACACAGCCATTAATTCTTGTACAACATGGCTTGTCCAGTCGCAGCGTGAAGACGTCCATTGTAAACCACTGAACACTTGTTTTTTTTCGATTGCACTGAAATACATGTATGTTGTCGCTTGCTGGATAAATGGTCCTTTGTAATCACTTTGGTCAAGTAAAAGCAACTATGAAGTACTGGTAAGCTGAAATTAAGAAATTTGCATTTTTAATGGTCCATTGTGTATCTTAAAACTATTTTTTTAAAAATGTTCACTTTTTGGGGTTTACGGATTGTGCTGTAGTCCACGAACCATGCAGAAGCTGGTCCATTGTGTATCTTAAAACCATTTTTTTTTAATTTTCACTTTTTGGGGTTTACGGACTGTGCTGCAGTCCACAACCATGCAGAAGCTTAAACAATGTAAATATCTGAAAATTGGCACAAGATATGCAATTAGTGCATCGAGGGCACATGTAACTTGTAGCCATGGAATGCGTATCAGAACAATTGTTTGATTTTTTTTTTTGCTTCAAAATGCCTACTGCTGTCAATGTGTACGATTTATTCCTCTTAAAGAATGAATCTTACGACTTTTTCTGCAGACTGTTCCCAATTCATCTGAATTAGCTCTTGGTACTTCTGCATGGAAACTCAGTTTATGCAGTCATGTTTTAATGTGTACTTGAAATTCTCTTAAATGTTTTTTTTTCCAACAAAAAGGAGAGTCTAGCCAGTACTGTATTTTTAATGAGGTTTACTCTGTACACTGAAATGAGAAAAGATGCCGTAGAGAATTGAGAAGCCCTAAGAAATACAGAGAACACAGCGTAAAGAATTGTGTTCTCCGGACAAAAGTTCTCTGAACTTTTGCTGTATTCTTTCAACTATAAATCATGTGTTTAAAAATGTTTAAATTTGGAACTTTGAGATAAGTTAGAACCAACCCCCAGAGTGTATTGTATGGAAGAGTTTTACAGAAAGTTTTGCCGATTGGCACAATAAGAGAGCAAAAAGAAACAAATACCTTTCACTTGAACCTTGACCAAACCGACTACATGTGTATCGTTGACTAGAAATGTCTACCTCATGTATGTTGAGTACGTTACCCTGAAATTTACCCAGAATATTACCACAGTTATTTTTATTGAAGGTGCAAGCTGAATATCTTCTCTTGAACTGCATTATATAAGTACTAAATAAAACTTGGTTTGTTCTGAATAGAATTACAGAATACCTGGTTCTTTTGTTTTACAGGAAAGAATACTCTCCAATAACCCTCCAAAGACAAACTATCCCATTCAATTTGCTTCAGTCACAGATAATTTCCAACAATTTTGATGCTTTGCTGGCAGGTAAATCTATGTGAAAATTCACTTTTTTCAGTCGGTCTTGAATTGCAAAGGGGTTAGCCTTGCAGTTACAGGCACATGATATCTACATTTCTGTTCTTCCTCCGGAATTGTCAAAATGAAATTCCCAAAGTTTAACACCCCTCATTTCAAACAGGTTAACATTTTCTGTTTATTTTATAAACTCTCCAAACCTGGATCCCTAGTTGCTCTCATAGTCATTCTATGAAATACACACATTAAAAATGAACAGTCCCCACCAATGTGGCTCTTTCAATTGATGAGGGTGTGCTTCTGATCAGGGCAGATTGGTCACAATATGTTTTCACGTATCCAGTTACCAAACGTACTCATTCACTTCTCTTCCGGTACGAAAGAAAAACGAGTTCTAATCCATTCCGGTATCTAGTCTACAATACAGGCTTATACATTTCCCATCATCTCAATATTTCACCTGTTACTGGAGGGTAGAATATTGTAATTGGTCTTCATTCTTAAATTACAGATCAAATAACAAAACTTCTGATTTTGCATTGATGACGGCAATTTTATCCAAACAAGCTCAGCATTACTGACGTTACCTGTGAACACCATAGCGATTTACTAACAGCATCACTGCTGTGTGCCTGCGCTCACACATTCCTCTCGCTCAAACATACCATATCGCCTGCTGGTTTGGTGTACATTCTGTTGAAAATTGGTGACTCCAAATCACGAGCCATCAATGTTCACGTGCTTCTGTCTCCTGTGTTCACCACAGTATCCATGCAAAGTCTACGACAAACACTGGCACTAACCCTAAAACTTGAATACATGTCGTTCAAATTTTCCAATCTAAAGTTCGACAATCTTAAAACTCATGGATTATCTTGCAATTGCAAGGCACAAATTTCTCCTGGTATTACATGCAGTTCAGTCACAAAATGTGTGTCTGACGCCAGATGTTGAAACACACACACACATCAGAATGCAAACGATTAAGCCTCATGGTTGGCTACAATAAAAATACTTACATGTATATTTAGGCCCACAGAGGATTTTCTGATAAGTAAAGCTTTATTTATAGAATAAAGTTTGCAAAATATGCAGTTGCAGGGTTAAGGCAAGCTGTGCTTCCCTACATTTCGTGTCTTTACATTTTTTAACCCTCCTTTAGTTTTACAGCACAAATATGCACAAGTGTCCACAGTCACTCTCTTGCATGTTGATGCAGTGCACCACACGACACAGCTGTGCTTCTTTGAGGTGTTTACCAAGTGACCCAAAGAGTGACTTCAGCATAGGAGGGTTGAAGTGGATGCTGGTCTTTCTAATTCTTACTTCTTTTGTTCGTGTTGGACTTGGAATGTCTTAAAACTATCACATTTCAAGACTGTGTCGCAAACACATGAAATACCAGTGAAGGGGTTACTCGACACAACGATGTACTTAAGAAATTACACGTCCCACCATAGGAATACCTGAATCTCAAGAGTTTGCCCGGATCTTACATCCTGAAGACACCGAAGTCTGTGCGGCCATCTTCCCTACGTTGGGAGACAATACTCAGACACATGCTGAGAACCTAGAAATATGAATAACAATAACGAAAATTAATAAAAAATGTTAATTTGCTCCTTGAAATGTCGGGAAAGCAGAATCTAATATATGTAGTAAAAATGAAGTGATTCTCTGAAGTACCAGTATTTCCAAGTTTCAGATTTCAGACAGATTCCAATGTTCTGCAGTTAATTACCTGCGTTTATGAATTCAGTTTATCACCTTTGTTTATGAATTCAGTTTATCACCTTTGTTTATGAATTCAGTTTATCACCTGTGTTGATGAATTCAGTTTATCACCTGCGTTTATGAATTCAGTTTATCACCTGTGTGAATGAATTCAGTTTATCACCTGTGTTGATGAATTCAGTTTATCACCGGTGTTGATGAATTCAGTTTATCACCGGTGTTGATGAACTCAGTTTATCACCTGTGTTGATGAA